GCTTCCGAATATCCAGTTAAAGTCACAAGGCTTGGATCGACCCACTTTAAACCTACTTTTTCCGCACGCTGTGATCGACACTCCAGGCTCAGACCTCCTTGACTAATCGAACAGGGTCTTGGGGTCGAAATGCGAGCTTTTTAACCACTCGGCTACGCACTCAGTTATACATCCAGGCAAATTTGTGTTTTTTTAATACCCACAGAGCCCAGCTGTGATTTATACTGCAACTATGATGAGCAGACCTTAGTTACAGTTTCTGGGAGAGAGCGTGTTACCTAGCGTGATCAACAGTATGAACCAGGCCAACAAACTCAAAACCTCGAAATTGATCTGAGATAAAAAGGCATTAAACTTTGTACTATAGTCAGCAGTTATGTGCCACACGTGATACATGCTTATGCAATCATGTCTCTTTCGATACATGACTGACGAGGCAGTTTTTTTTCCCGCAGTATGTTGCCATTTCTTTCTGCGCTAGACCAGTTGCCATCCAAAGCTATAGAACACGGTTTCTGGAGGGGTGGGCAGAAGAGGATTCATACCTTTCCCAAGAGTATTAGCACGTAAGTGAATGTAATGGATCTGACTGGAATTCGAACTCGGCTCTCCGATTCCTCATTCCGAGCCGCTATCCATTTTTGTACGGTATGGCGAGCAACAAAATGGCGAGCAAAATGTATGAATGCCTTCAATAACGTTATTATCATCCGCATCAAATTATCTTTAGTTATTGAAATTTTATTGTCATTCCTATTTCAATAAATTTTTCGATGATCTGGAATTGATCAATGAAAATTTGAATTTTGCCAAAGAAACATTTTTTTTTTTTGTGCTTTACGAAATAAAAAAATGATAAAGTTTTGGGAATGACAACAATAAACAATAAAAAAAAAAAAAACTCAGTGAAACTGAAGATTAAATGAAACTTTACCCGAGGACAATTCAATACAAAATAATTTTTTTTCAAGATGGAGTTCTTGATTATATTAGAGATTGGTTTTAAAATGATTTAATCGTATTTTTAATTGGTTAAAATGAAACGGTTTTAAAGCAATAATGGCCGAAATTTAAGAAATGAATTTAACAACACAAAGGAAATGCTGATGAGATCTTCTCGGAAGATAAATCTGAAACATTAATTTTTGATGACTGTTTTGATTCTAAAACAATTTTAACCGGATCTTTTAGATAATTCGATAGTCTATTCTTAAAGAACGCGAAATTCCTTAGTTCCAACAGTTCAAACCTTACAACAAAGATAGACCATTCCACGGACATAGAACCGGATCATCCTCACTTACCCTCGTATTCCATCAGAAGTTCTGATCAGACAGATTTGTCCCGAGAATTACTATTTTGTGAAACAGGCTTCCCAGGAGATGCTTCTTGGATTACTATAATCTTAACCTCTTCAAATTTATGATAAGCCGTTATCTGTCCTTCATATCCATGTGATATGCACCAACTTTCTCTACTTATGTCGAGCCTCATTCAATAACACTCTAACTAGAGTAGTTCTTAGGCCTTCTACTCGGCGAACAACTATAGTATATATATATATATATATATATATATATATATATATATATATATATAAATAAAAGAACATAAAGTCAACACTTAGAGGCCTCTAAGTGTTGACTTCAATGTTCACTTTTATATTTACACACGCTCTATCTCTGATATTGAGCACTTTATCTCATAAATATACCACACCTTAAGAGTATATTTTTTCATATATATATATATATATATATATATACCTAGTGAGCCAGACAAACCTACCTATGTTTCACCTAAACGGGAAAGTAAGGCTAACGAGACGGTTTCCCGTTTATTGTCATCCCACCTTGATGTTGGTTTTTTTTCCGTTTTTTGTTTTTTTTCCCCTCCCCATTTTTGTTGAATAAATATTTACCCCCACCCACTTAAGTTTGTGTTTGTGGTTCTTTGGTCACGTGGTATGATTTTAGCTATCGCCTATAAATATGCGTTTCTCTTTGCCTCGTTAGCCTGACTTTCCCTGACGATCCGTTTAGGTGAAACCTAGGTAGGTTTGTCTGGCTCACTAGGTGTATCTAGGTCTGCTCTACGGTTGTATTGAGCTCTTTTGTTAGTTGTTACTCGTATCGGGGTTTTTTCTTTGGGCTTCAGACCTGCATCTGTGCGATTTTTTTTTTTGCAATCGGCAGAAGTTCATGTTTGTAGCTCTTTCTTTTTTTAAACCTTTTTTTTTCCCTCGAGATTGATTTGATTATTAGCAAATCAAAAATTCGAGGGTTTTTTCAAACGAGTCTAGTTATCTATAATATTATATATATATATATATATATATATATATATATATATATATATATATTATATATATATATATATATATATATATATATATATATATATATATATATATATATATATTTTACTGCGTTTGCTTTCTTTTTATGGAAGAGGTTAGATTGCTGGTGGACCGGAAGCTACACGTGATTAGACGATAAACTGACAAGAGGAGTCGCAGTGTGTGATTAAAATGAGGAAAATTGTATCTGACGGGTGGCACACAAGTCGATACCCGATTAGTATCGATTGGGTCACCGTGGAGAGAGGGTATGGTGTTGAAAGACCCCAAACCCCTAATGTAGCTCTGCTAAAAATATTACTGATGATGTGTGCCAAAGTATTAAACAGATGTATTTCACAATATATATATATATATATATATATATATATATAGTTGTATATTTAGGCAGCAATCCTTCGTTTATGCATGTTTCGTTAAAAACGACAAACAAGGTACTACTGTTAAGCTTATTATTTAATTTTTCTTGTGTTCGACCAAGACCTTTCTTTTCTGGACAAAGAGTGTGTAAAAACTGTCCAAATGTTTTATAGATCCGAGCGCTTTCGGCTATACATCTAGCCATTCAATTTTTTCAGCTTAATTGAGTGTGTGCATTATCTTTATGTTTGTTGTAGAGCTGTTTTTTAATTTCCGAATACGGTTAGCACATTGTGGCCTTGTTCGTAGTTAATATTGTTAAGAGTTGGCTTTTCCTTTTTTATTATTAAAGCTTTCCTTAAAAAAGAAAAAACTAACTTTTTTTCCCCTTTGGTTTAAATTAAATTTAAATTTGAACAAGAGAATGACTCCTCTCCAAAATATAGAAAGAGAAAACCAGAAGATGGAGGTCACATCGGCAAGACGATTGACTAATACCGAAATACATCATTTTTCTCCACAGATTCTAAGAATGATTTAAAATCAATCATCGTTTTCTTACAAAAATATGTGACAAATAGGAAGGCGCCGCTAATACTTTAATAAAACAGGTACTTTTGAATAGTTTGTTCATACTGTCAATACATACATATATATATATATATATATATATATATATATATATATATATATATATATATATATATCATTCAGGAAAATATAATAAGAAATTAAATAAACATATCTTGTTGGTTGAATTTAACTAAAATTATAAGGAAAATGTATTATCACATTATTTACATTATTCGGACTATTGTCCTCATCTTTGTTGCCATGTTTATCACAACGTTTCGGCCGTTGTACGCTCCGGCCTTCTTCAGGTAGCTGGAATGTCGAACGTAACCCTTTATTTCGTTATGCTAGGCTATCTCCTGAGCCGACCAAGCATAGAAATGAATACAATATGAAAACCAGTAATAAGGAGTGCTAGAGAAAAGCAATAATAACAACAAAAGTAGGAATATGAGCTCTGGTAAAAACATGAAATGATAACAGCAAAAAATTGCAATATAAGAACTGGCAAAAATGGTTGTTGAAGACATTAGGTTTATAATACCCAGAAATTCATACATATATATATACATATATTGTTAAATACATGTCAAGGATACGTGTCACAATGGATAAAGGCGCTGGTTAGATCCAGTGACAGGACCCAAAGAGTGTGAGTTCAATACCTGGTTAAGGCAGAGAACTTTCAGAGGGAAATTAACAGGAGATAACTGATAACTGACGCCCATTAAACATGGCAAGAGGAACCAGAACAGTCTACCCCAGTGAGTGAAATAAAGGGTTCAGTTCGACATTTCAACCACCTGAAGAAGGCTGGAGCGTCCAACGGTGGAAACCGAAACATTGTAATAAATATGGCGACAAAGATGAGGACAATAGTCCGAATAATGTAAATAATGTGCATAATACCTCATCTCAGAAATATCGACAGATACCAAATGTATAATCACTAAATTTGAGAAATATCACCGCGTGAATGGCAATAAAGATAAAAAAAAAAGTGTTGAGAATAGAAAGAATAAATAAATCAATAAATTTATTCAATAAAAGTGAGATTTTTACATTCAAAATGATCTCGCTACTCTAAGAGTCGAGCTGGATCGAGTTTTCGAACTCAGTCTGATAGAGAGTTATAATCACCTAACATTCAGTGTAGTGGGGCGATTGATCTTATTAACAATAGTTTGATGCAGAGGGAAGAGTTAGTCAATTTGACCAAATTAATAAAATCACTTTTCATATGACAATGCAAGAAATTAAGAATTGACCATAATTCAAGCCGAATTTTTTTTTTAAATTCATGTCCCCCCCCTGGATGATCTAGAGTTTTAAACATTTTGCCAAAGATAATTACCGTCGTGGTATCTTAATATTTTACAGACGATATTTTCCTCATTGAAAATTTTCATGATTTATGCAGGTAATTTATTTAGAAAAAAATGACGCTCGATAATTAAGCTTAAAATAATTTTTATGATTCGTTTTTAAGAAATCAATAATAATTAATGCATTAATGATTAAAGACAATAAAAATAACCTTTAAATAAAGTACGGAAGGCAAGTTCTCCTAGAGATTTGTGAATATATATAGACATATATATATATGGACATATATATATAGACATGAATATACAAGAATGTGGCTGAAATGTTCTCAGTCCTACCAAGAAGAGTTTTAAAATAGTTTGATATTTGGTCATTTGCTTAGGTTTTGGGAACTGGGGGTTCATTTCTTCATATCTATCTTATTCTCTTCATACTTAACTCGTCTATCTATCTATCTATCTATCTATCTATCTATCTATCTATCTTTCTAATGAACTTCAGTTCGGCCAGGAACAAATTATTTTATTATTTTAGGAAAATATTAGTCATGATTTGTATTCTCTAATACGTTTTATTTCTTCGATGTTTTCCCTCCAAACTTAGATAATTTGGCGCATGGAAGTCTTCTGCCTTGTTGCGTTTACTAGACGGGCCACTGAACTCGCGCGAAATGTGTTTAATGCGCTCCAAAAACTATTATTCGGCATCTGTTATTTGTAAAGCCGTCAAACCAGAGTCCCTCAATCGGAAATGATATGCTTGCCTGTTTCTGCAGTATATGAAAAGACTAATTATACAAGCGATGCACCGGTCCTGCAAAGCCTCCAGTCCGCTTTTGATGGCGTATCTGTCATAGAAGCCATCTTCGCAATATGGTACTTTCATGTGCCTCTTCACTTCGATGATCATAAAAAAATTCTCTGAGACACTGAATCAATTACTGGCTCTCATGAAAGTCCCGTGATGAGACAAAGAATACGCAGATTAGATTTTCAACTCATTTTTAGCTGTGGAAAGTTATGATTTAACAAACAAAAAAAAACAAAAAACCTTATCCGAAAACAGCTCATCGTGGCGTAACGGTCAACAAGCCGGATTTATGGAGCCTTGGCAGTGAGAGCAATCTTCACTGTGTGCTCCATACTTACTTTTAAAAACATTACGTTGGAAATATCAGCGTGCTCGTTCGGTATCTTATCTATTAAAATTTTCAGGTCAAAGCAAGCTATCTGGATTAAAAACCCATCAAGAGGAATGTAGGAATTGAATACAAGTGTTATACCGAGTGTAACAGCAAAATTGTCCAAATCGTGTAACAGCAAAATTGTCCAAATCGTGTAACAGCAAAATTGTCCAAATCGTGTAACAGCGTGGCATAATTGTCCATCCCACAAAATATTTAATATCTAAAAACCGCTAAACTTTCGGGCTGGTTGAAAAGATCTGTACCCCCTCATATGAAATAATTTTGGATTTTGTTGCGTAATATATATATAAATATATATATATATATATATATATATATATATATATATATATATATATATATATATATATATACATTTTCATTGAATAAGACAGACAAGGTGCGTTTATTTAGTTTTTTATACAATTTCTCACGTGATCTAATAATTTTTTTTCTTTTCAGATGATAAATTATATAAAAACTTTCCGAATGTTCTTTTTATCCGAGCGCTTTCGGCTATACATTTTCAAGAATTACATATTTTAACTGTTTAATATGAAATATTTTATAAAATGTTTTCATTTTTCAAAAAACAGCCAAGATATTATGTTCATGTATTATTTAATCTCGAACCCAAATCCTATAGCACCTAAACTCAAAATACCGCGTGTAACAGCAAAATTGTCCAAATCGTGTAACTGCGTGGCATAATTGTTAATCCCACAAAATGTTTAATATCTAAAAACAACTAAACTAATTGAGTTTCTTTTTTCCAGCTTTTCAGATAGACGTTTAGGCATCGACATCATTTGTGATGAGAATCAATGAAAAGCCATTTTGAGTTATTCAGCTAGAAAGAGAACAGGTTAAAATCGTTTTCTGTTAGCCACTGTATGTCTTCGTAACTGAGCAATGGCGACAGGAAAAAGATAATTCAGGCTTTCAGTAATGTTACCAACATTCATAATCTGGCTTCCATGTTCAAATGTCCATTTAAGAACCATCAAGGTAACAGTAAATAAGTTTAAAAGAAGACGGAACAGCAGAAAGGAAAATTGAATCGGGGGGGGCACAACAGGAAGGGGATCATCATTTCAAATTAAAGTTAAATAGATTCTTATTGTTCGAAGTAGATTTCAAACGTGTTATAAAAAAAACTCGGAGAATTCCAGTAAGATATCTTTAATCATTTTTTTTTTCAAGATACAACGGTTCAAAGTTTAATCTAACAATTATACAATTTCGCTGTTACACGATTTGGACAATTTTGCTCTTACACCCGGTATAGGTAAAATATCGCGCATTTACATTATTCGGACTATTGTCCTCATCTTTGTCGCTATATTTATTACAATATTTTGGCCGTTGTACGCTTCGGCCTTCTTCTGGTGGTTGGAATGTCGAACTTAACCCTTGATTTCGCTCACTGGGGTAGGCTGTTCTAGTTCCACGTGCCATGTTAAATGGATGTCAGTTATCAGTTATCTCCTGTTAATTCCCCTCTCAAAGTTCTCCACTGCCTTAACCGGGTATTGAACTCACACTCTTTGGGTCCTGTCATTGGATGTAACCAACGCTTTTATCCACTGTGCCATGTGTCATTGAGTAAATAGTGTACATAATACATCATCTCAGAAATATAAACAAATATCGTGCATTATTTATTATATATAACACATTAGTATCTAGTATTTTGTATGTAACGCTTTTTATTTTCGAAGGCACAAGTAGACATTTTAGATAAGTACAGATACTGGAGAAGGTCGCTTCATGGATGTAAAGTAAGGTGTCCTCGTATTGGTAGCCAAACTATATAAAATCCGTGAGATCTTTTTTCGAGATATTCAAAATAGCTCCCTACTCTTCAGACCGACCAAATTACGAGTATACGCCTCCGAAAATACCGCTTCTGTGACTTAAAAAATTTCACATTTTCTAAAATTAATTATATTTTAGAATTGTACTTTCAAATTTTGAGATGAAATATTTTCTTGGTTTCACACATTTTTCGCGTCTCAACCTTTGTAGCTTTTAACATACCTTTTTGACAGATATTCTTTTTAGCTTTCTGCGGTCATAATTTGCATCCAGTAATCTATAGAAGTAACGATCCTCTTTTTCGTACTCATAAAAAGACCGTAATAATTTCAAAAATTCACAGAACAGAATACCAAAATCTCATGTTAACAGAAAATCAAAGAAGATGAGAAGAAAAAAAAAATCTATCCTCATCTGTTTTTAAGTTCCTTCTATTCTTGTGATAACACCCGCTGGGGACTTTGTGAATTCTGATCTTGATGAGGAGTTAAAAAAAAGATTTTTTTAAGAACATTGAATTTAAAATATACGAATAGCTAACTGAAGAGCGCATCGGCCGAAACTTTCTGTAAAACAAGAAAGATGAAGATAAAAAAAAAGGCGGGATCGTTTTTTTCCTACGGTGTTTGTCTGAGGGTAAATTTAGATTTATAAAGATGCCATCAGATCAACTGACTGAATTCTTGATTTCCTTTCGACATCAACTCATGTCATCTCCACCAAATCTTAATTGTCATCAGCGCAGTTGCATTTCAAAGTCCACGAAGTAAACAGTGAAGAAAATTCGAATGAATAGTTCAAGAAAACATAATCTCTCTCAAGACATCTTAAGCCGTTAAAACCACTAAAGATAAATTAAAATGGAAAACACGAAATCATGTCTTGATATTTATAATCGGTTTGATTGGTCTTCTTAAATAAATAGATGACATACATAAACAAAAATAATAAAAAAAAAAAAGTTAGTCTGTTTTCTATGCAATCAGAAGTGATTTGTGTTTAAGCCTTAACCTATATCAATAATGTTTAAATCAGGAAAAAATAAACAGTATTTTAAGATTGAAGAAGCGATAAGATCAATACTTCAATCTTTATTAAAAGTGCTACACATTTCTGCGAGGAATTTGATCGGTTTAAAGATCAGGTTGAGGATTATGAGACGAGATTTTTAAAGCTAAATTTTTAATTTAAACTATTTTTCAAAAAAAAAAAAGAAGAAAAAAAAAGCCGATTGATTTTAGACTCGCTCTCGGCATTTCGTTGGACACTATTCTCAGATAGTCGGCCGATATGTCTTTCCTTAAACCATGAATTTAATGATTAAAAGAAACCTCAACAAATGCTGAAAATGATTTTAAGTAAATTTAGCGTATAAGAGGGCGAAGACCCCAATGTCCGAGGGAAGATTACAATTATGATATGGTAAGAAGTCATATGTTATATTAAGTGGACCTCGTGTACTAGATATCGCTGCGGACGACGACAGGATGAAAAGATTTTACGATATAATTTGTTCGGGCATGCGCACACGTAATCACATTTTGGTACTAGACAGATGTCGAACATGAAAACATTCACAAATATTAATGTAGACAAGACTCACTTAACAGTGAAAAAAAAATGAACTTCACATATCCATTAGAGATAGTTGTTTTTGTTCGACCATAGATTTAATGACTTTCAGCATGTGGGAAATATGGCTCTCCACAGCTTCTTTTTATTATTATCTGTGAATTGTCATGACTTCTTGGGAAAGAGTGTGATTTCACGCTGCTTCCTCTACGGTTTTAAATTCATATTTTCTCTAAGACTGGTTCCAACACGAAGCAATATACGTAGAAGCAAATATGTCGAAATTATTCTTGACCAAATATCATTCTTACGAAATGGCAAGCGTCAAATGCAAAATATTAGGCTTCTAATGAATTTTGATAAACAATAATTAGACAAATATATAAAAGGAGTTTAGACAGGATAAGATTTCCTCTTGATTTCTTTAATGAATGAGTAAAAATGCCAAATTGTTTCAGAAAATTTTCATAGCTTCGAAGAGTTGAACAATCTGGATTCAAATTTTATATACAAGGCTCAAATCTCGATCTTGGTCAAGCCTAAACATGAGCTTGATAAACTTTTACCCTTTCTCACCTCATTTGATTTCGATCAACTTTCACGTGACCCGTAAACCATTAGGATCATATGAACACCACATGTACTGCAGCTCGTAGTAACAGTGGCGTGTTTGTGGTAAGATAGCCTGGCTGAGGCCAACACTCTTTAGGCTGGTTCAAATTCAGTCTTTCTTCTCATAGACTATTCACCACCAAGTTTATAGGACCAAGTCTGTCATGGTATTTATCCATAGTTGTGGGGCATTAGCATGTAAGGAATGTAAGGAACTCGATTGAAATTCGAACTCCGCTTTTCAGTTTCTCAAACCGAGCTGTCATTCAATACTCCACTGTGCCTCCTTATATTGAGCTACAT